AGAAGCCAGAGCAAGCGCGTTCTTTTAGATCTGTCCCAGGCAAAGGGCCCTTCTCCATGGGGGTCCCAAGTGGACACTGGATAGAAGTCTTCAGAGGCAACAGAGGTTTGTGTCACAGCCAGCCTGACAAGGCAGATCCCATGGAGACCCCCTTGTCCAGACCCCTTGTTTGACAGATGGGGACCCCAGGGAGGCTGAGTCACGAGCTCAGGACAGCACATTCTCTAGTGGTTAGAGATGCAGATGGGACTGTCCACCATCAGATGCCAGAGCTTCCTCAGAATAGAGAACGCTCAGAAGATAAGCCTAGTGCTGTGGAAGCCCCAGCCTACCTATCACATTAGTGGAAGACGGCCCCTTCTCTGAGCCACAACTCCTCTCTCCAATCTGTTTGAGTCCCCAGCATGGTCCACCCAGTACCAACCCCAGGAGAAAACCCTCAGCAGATTTCCCTACACTGCTCAGCCCTGGGGCTTCCAGGGCACTGGAACCCTACAGAGAGTGCCTGCAGGTTCCACGGCTCCCTGTCCTAGCCTTGGAATGTGTAAGAAACGCCAACCTCACCTCTCAGTAGGATGTGGCTCCCCACCTACTATGAGGCGCCTTCCTAGGGGTGGAGGTATCTAAGACACAGCTTAAAGGGCCATCAACCACACTGGGCTCCAGTGAGTTTGGAAGGAAGCAGGGCCCCGGGGTGACGCAAACCCAAAGGCACATTCTGGTGTGTCTAAGGAGGGAGGTAGAGACGGATCCAGACCCAGGATGCCGAGGGAGGGGAAAGAGTGGGAGCAGGTGTACGTGGGTTCTCTTTTGAGCAGCCAGGAGGGATCTAAGTGTATGGTCAGGAGAAGGCAAAGAAGGGAGACAAGAAGAAACAAGGAAGAGACTCGGGAAAAGCATCTCCCAACAGCTGATACACCAGCTTTGAGCATTTATAACATTTCCAGTTTCGTCCTATTGTGGGTGAACCCAACAAATCCAAAAATAAAATGCAGGAAACAGCCTGAGAAATGTTCCCAAGGAATGACAGGGCTGCCTCCTTGTTCATGGCAAGTCTTCCTAGGAGAGGACTCCACGGAAGGTCTAACAAGAAAAGAGCCTGCACCCCGCAGTACCCTCCAGACCCCCAAAGCACAGAGGAGGAGTAGATGAGAGCAGAGCTCTGCCCTGGGCCTGGCAGCTAGGAGCCCCCTTCCTGGGAAGCCTCAGGAGGCTGCAAGCTCTCCCCAGACAGGTGGGAAGCTGAATCCCTGTGGAGAGAGACAGGTTTCCTGCACACAGAACTGCCCTGACTTAGTCAACAGGCTCTTGGAGCTCCCTTAGCAATTACTGCCTCACCACTCAGCTTCATGGCTGGCCACTAATAATTTATTGCAAATGTCTCATTTCTCCAATAAGGCAGCCACTTCTCTACCTCTGAATTCCCTGCAGAGAGTATCACAGCTGGGCACCCCAGCTGGTCCTCATTAAAACCCTTCCAGCCCTGAATCTTCCCACCCTCCCTCGCTCCCATCTCCAGCCCTGCTCCCTAGCAGCCGGCCCAGGACATTCACTTCTCACTTTTAAGGGCTAGATTGGCAGGTGCTGTGCCGGAAGGGCAGATGAGAGCCTCTGAGTCTGTAGATCTGACTGGTAGCCTGGTGAAATCTACCAGGGCCATCTATAGGCAAAGAGGGAATTGCTAATAGCAAATTCTCTAGCTAGCATTCTCTTTATTGTCCTCCTGTGGGAGATACGCATTTGTAACATTTTGAGTCAGATCATGTAGAACTGCCTCTAAGAACATGGCTCAGGAAGGGACTCTAGCAGGAGCCACTCAACTTCCCTGGTTTTGATTTCCTCACGTATAAAAAGTAGGGATAGCTATGCATTACTGTGGACAGGTGACTAAACCAGCCCTCCATTCTACACTTCTGGGAATATTGGACCATCTTGTTCATCTGTGTGAAAAACAGTAAGGTGGATTTGGCATAAAAAGTCTCATGGTTCCCATCCTGGCTTTGGCACTTATTAGCTGGCTGGTGCTCGGAAGTCACTTAATCTTTCTGAACTAATATTTTCACCTGTGAAATGGGCACAATAATAGCTTCACCACATAGATGGTGTGAGATTTAAATGAGATACCACGCATAAGCAGGATTGCTAATCTGTAAAGTGGTATCCAAATCTTACTGATTATTAGCAGATCATAATGAGTATGGTAAATAAAAACTTTCTAAATAAGCAAGTTCATGTAGGGGACAGCAGAAACACAAAAAAGACCACTGCTGATGGATTTGCTGGTCACTCTTCTCTGCCCAGGGAGATAGGCTGCCCTGGAATTGCCTCTTGAAGTGGAGACTTAGAGCAGAGGAGCAAAGGCTGATCTCAGGATGGAGGCTGGAAGTTAAGGCTCTCAGAACACAGGGTGAAGCTACCTCCCACCTATTGGGGCCCCTCCTGCATTGCTTCTGCAATTTGGCAACAGGCTCCCAGCAAGCACTTCCCCAGGTGATAATACCACAGTAAATTGTGGCCCTTAGTTTTTAAGCACTTCCTGCAAAGGAAGCAGACCCTCCAGAAATGAATCTTCATTTGTACTACCCCTCAAAAAATGCTGATAAACTCATGAAAAAGTTGTTATTGCTAAATGCTAATTGCATTTCATTGGGTAAGCACCATAAAAAATTCATTGCAGTTTTTAGAAACAAGATGCCAACCGCATTTTAATTGCTAGAGAGGAGAGAGTTAGGGAGAAGCTTAACCAGGAAAATGCTAGCTGGGCAGAAACTCAGAAAGACATCTCCCTAAGCCAGAAAACCCAGTCCTGAAACAAGAGCTGAAGAGAGATAGGTCTTGTGAGCCGCCAGACCCTCCCAGAGGAAGCACTGACTGGGTGGCTCTCAGATATGCAGCATCAGAGCACCTGGATATCTGGAGCTATTTGTTGCCAATCATGACATGTAGATTTAACAAATGTAGTCTCTCAGTCATGTTCAACTCTTTGCAACCCCATGGACTGTAGCCCTCCAGGCTCCTCTGTTCATGGAATTTTCCAGGCAAGAATACTGGAGTGGGTTGCCATTCTCTTCTCCAGGGGATCTTCCCAACCCAAAGACGGAACCTGGGTCTCCTGCATTGGAACCAGATTCTTTACCTTCGCAGCTACTAGGGAAGTCCTAACAAATGTAAAGAAGTACATAGATAAGCACTAGAGAGAAAAGCAGGAGTCAGCTCCAGAGCTTTAAGAAACATGCATAGGAGGGAATTATTCTACTGCCACCTTCACGTGGGCATGTGAGAGAGAGAAGGCGGGAATGGGAGGAGGAGACCAAGACCGTACTTCACTCTAATACCGGAAGTCCTGGACCAGTTCACAGAACTGTCTTTTAAAAACCTCCCCGCTATTCCATTGCCGACCAGAGTATTCTTACAGTGGTCTCCTGCCCCACTGCAGCAGAGCCAGCCAGAGCCAGGGGAGAGCAGGAAGTAGGTGAGATCCACAGGAGAGTGGGGAGGATCCTGACTCTGTGGGCTTAACCTGGGCTGACCCAGTCCTGACCCAATCTGCCCAGGAGCATCCCAGTCTGGGTCTCTGGGGAGGCATTTCCCCGACCTGAGAGTGCAGAGAAGGCAGGCCCAGGGCAGGCCTGGGCATCCTCCCAAAGATGGGCAAAGGGCCACAGAGGGGAGGAGACAGAAGGGCAGGCTTCTCGCTGCCGCTGACAGCCTCTTCCTCTCCAGCTGCGCCCCCTGCCCCAGCCCGCTGCTCCCCCAGCTTCCCAGCCCAGTCCCAGCTTCCCTCCTGTCATTGAGGCTCTCCGCTGAGACAGACTGGAAATCAGGGCCCAAGGAGAGAGGCACAGTGGCCTGGAGGCTGGCCGGTGGGTGGTGACGGTCTCCTGTGCACTGAAAAGAGATACATGCCTTCTGCGTCCAGGGCTGCTTCTCCTCCATCTAGTGAACCTGCCAGAGGGCCCAGGAAACATGAGGCTGGTGTGTAGTGAGATGGAGAAAACAAATCAATAGCACTGGGGAAGGGAGTCCTGGGCTGAAAGTGAAAGGAGCTGATCCGGAGCAGGGCTCCTCCCTCCATGAGCCAAGCAGCTAGCATTTTCATAGATCACTTATTTTATATATAGCAGTGTGTATATGTCCAAAAGAATCTTAAAAAGAGTGGATATATGTATCTGTATAACAGATTCACTTTGTTGTACACTCGAAACCAACACACTACTGTAAATAACTATACTCCAAAAACAATTTTTTTAAACATCACTTAACCACTCAGCTCCTTCATTTCCACTTCTATCAAATGGGACTGGCATATCTGTTTCTCTAGGGTTTTTGTAAGGTTTGAATGAGAAGATGGATACATAGGTGTCCTGTAAACTCTATAAAGTGTATTATCCACCACCTGCCCTGAGCCCAGCTTTGCAGAAAGACACTTCCCACTATCATGCGGGAAATCTATTTGTAAAGGACTTTATACAAATCATGGGCTTTTGTTTTCTCACTTGCATTTCCCACTGTAAGGATGAAGTGGAGAGGTAGGCTCAGGACCACACAGAATGAATTAGTTGCTGAAACCAGACTGCTAGATGCTGAGCTCTCCCTCATACACGGAGGGCAGGCAGGACCAGGGAAGAGAAACGGTCATAAATAAATGCTTCATAACACTTGGGTCACTCACTCCAAGCCTAGAGCTGAGCAGGCCTTATTTCATGTAATCTTCATCATGTAATCTTATATCACAGCATATATGATAGACTGGATGGTTATAACCAGGACACTGAAGTTTACCAAGCTTAGGAATCTGGGCTACAAACTCCGATCGATTGATTCTTCCCGAGTGAATGCTTAAACTGATAGAATGGATTCAGCCGTCATAAGCACCACTTCCTCTCCGAAGTCTAAAACCTTCCCCCTCCCCCAGCAAAGCTCAGGTCTAAGGGCGAGGGTCGCGGTTTCTGAGGGTTGGGTCTTTCACAAACCGGTCTTCTCCCCTTGCCCCCTCTCACCTGCCCCTCGCTGTCCTGAATCCAGTCCAGGAACTCGGCAACCTTGGCGTAGACTCCGGGGTGGCTGGGTTCTGCGCAGCCGTGTCCCCAGCTGACCACCCCCACCAGGCGCCACGTGCCCTCGTCCAGACACACCAGGGGACCCCCGCTGTCCCCCTGAGGGATCCAGCTGCCGGACACAGAGAAGCGGGCAATTAAGTCCCTCCTAGTGGAGGGGAGCCAGCGTGCTCCCCGCCCCCACCATAGGCTGGGCGCACACCCTGCACTCCAAGCCGTCCTGCTTCCAGGATGAATCCCGTCTCGCCTCGCCCCTCCTCGCCCCTCACTGCGCTGCCCACTTGCCTGGGCTCCTCCTCTGCTACCAGAGAAGACATGGGCCAGGCGCGCAGCCCGCAGCCCCTGCCCCGCACCAGGCCCTCGGCCGCACCTGGCACGCATCCGCCCTCCCGTCGAGGTAGCCGGCACACAGCATGCAGGGCGTCAGGGCCCCGCTGTACACGCAAGAGCTGTTGCAGAGCTGGGTGCTGAGCAGGGGCATCACGGCGTTCTGGAGCACGTCGGAGCTGTGGGAGGGTCACAGATGGAGGCGGGCAAGGCGGAGGCGCTAGAGGGCGCCAGGGACCCCAGGGACCTGGAAGCCCAGGACTCCGGCCAGGAGGGTCCGTCTGACTTGGAGGGGAGGGGTGTGCATCACACATACACCCTGATGCTGAGGCCCTGACACTCCTGGGAGGCGGGGAGGGAGAAGACAGGGCCTGGGTTTCGGGCAAAATACCAGTTTGTTCTCCCAGAAGGACCCTGGGGCCCCCGGTCTGACCAAGGGTGATGCCAGAGGAGAAGGGGGCTTGTGTTGCCCTGTGGCCAGGGAGGAGGAGGCCGAGGTGCCTCACTTCTGGGGACAGATGCCTCCCCTCCCACCCCCCACCCCCCATCCTGTGCACCCAGGGCCCTGGGAGCTGACTTACTGTGGCTGGGGTCAGTGTGGCCCCAGCCAGACACCCAGCATTCCGAGCCCCTCGGAAAATCCTGCTCTTCTGCCAGCAAGCATAGGGCGCCCACGGTGTCTGCAGAGAGGCAGTGGTCCTGGGCCCCACTCAGGCTCCGCCTTTCTGCCCCGGAGCCTGGGCGCAAGGACCAGGGCCGGCCAGTCCTCCTCGCCCCTTCTTCAAACAGCCCTCGTTCCAGCTTCCTGCGTGGCTGTGCGGGCCAGGCTCGGTACCACCTGGGGGTCATCATTCACACAGAGGACCATGTAGAAAGGGCAATGTACACAGCGCCCTAGGCTGGGTGGGGTACACGTGATACCCCCAGCCTGGGACCGATGAGGAGTGGGAACTTCTGCTGGGCGCTTGTACCTAACCTCTCCTAATAAGGACCCAGTTTAGATTTTCCGCAGGGTGTCTGGATCCTCTTGGACATGGTTCCAAAACTATGGGACCTGTCCTATGGGTCAGGCCGAACCTGATTTTACAGAGTGTATAGACCTGCCCTTAGGTAAACACCACTTCACTGGGAGAAAGTATTTCCTCTTCGATTCTCTTTCAGCCCCTCTGCATTGAGGAGACAGGGGCTGTCTGGGCCGTTCTCTGCCTCTCTCAACTCCGGTCCACCCCTTCTAAGCAGAGAGAGCGGCCCGACTCAGCAGTTCTGCAGAGCTGAGTGCCAAGCTGGGACTTGAGCACTGTTTTGCTTCCAGTCTGTACATTTTTGTGGTTGTTATATTCACTCTAAGTCATAAGGTCTCCAGTTTGGTAGAAACCTCAAGTTTCCCTTTAAGTATATTTAAGTCAATTTAGAAGCATTAGCTGTTGAACAACAGTGCAGAGAGCAGTCGTACATGGTAGACTCTGTAAACAGCATAGAGCAACATCTGTGGCTGGGATACCCCAACAGGAAACAATGGAAGGGAGGAGTGCTGAGTGTGAATGAGTGTGTGTGTGCACGCGTGCACGTGCTAGGTGCATGCACCTACCTGAGAGTATGCATGCACAGGAGTAGGTGTGCGTGTGCACTTATGTGAGCCTTGCACAGTGTGTGAGTGTGTGAGGGCATGCACAGGCACATGCCTGGCACACGCATGTGGAAGAGGGAGCTGCCTGACCTTCGAGGGCAGACGCTGTGGAGGAGACGCCCTGCCCTGGAACTGTTTGCCTCCTCAACTGGAGCAGTGTCACTTCCCTCATCGTTACACACCTGCCTCAGCTCCCTGTCAGGCTTGTGATGAGGGTGGGGAGGTGAAAGGGTTGTTACAAGGATGGGGGTGGTGGTGAAAGGATGTTTGGTAAAGTAAGTCTTATTAACCATAACATGGTGCAGGTAATTAACTGTTATCCTGTTAACTACACGTGCTGTGTGCTAAGTCGCCTCAGTCGTCTCTTGACTCTACAACCCCATGGACTGTAGCCCGCCAGGCTCCTCTGTCCCTGGGACTCTCCAGGCAAGAACACTGGAGTGGGTTGCCATTCCCTCCTCCAGAGGATCTTCCTGACCCAGGGATCAAGCCTGTGTCTCTTACATCTCCTGCCTTGGCAGGCGGGTTCTTTACTACTAGGGCCACATAAGAAGCCCAGTAACTATATAGTTAACTATTATCCATCCTAACCTGGCTGGGACCTGGCACCAGCCTGGGAACTGGGTAGAGCAGCCTGCTGGAGATGGAGCCACTGGGAAGCTTTTCTGGGGACCTCGAGGCAAATCCCACCTGCCACCCAGCCATGAAAAGGGCCAGACCCTTTGTCCCCAAAAGAGCATGTGGAAGAGTTGGTGCAACCCAAGGTCCCCGTGATGCCAGAGTCCATGACAGCCCCCAAATGAAGTCACCATTGTAGGGTTCACAGCATGGAGGGGTCTTAGGAACCCTCGTGGCTCCCACCCTCCGGGCACCGCCCCTCGCCGCAGCCTCACCTGAGAAGTGCAGTGGGGTGCGGAGCCACAGGAGGGCCACATCATAGTCATGGTTCTGGGCTCTGTACAGAGGGTGGGTGATGATCTGCTCCACCGCAGCCCCTTGGTGTGGCCTGACCGTGCTGTGGCTGACCAGCCCCGCATGGACTCGCCACCTGGACAGACGGGACAGCCTGAAACTGCACACGGAGGCCGTGCTGAGCCCGGGGGAAGGAGGGCAGGAGACGCTGACATAGGTGAGGTGGCAGGTGGAAGAAGCTACCAGCGAGGCTGTGAGTGGGGCCCCATCCCCGGGCTACAAGTTCCCAGGACCCAAGCCTTTTCAAATCTGCCCCAGCATTTGGTAAGACACGGGGCAATCAGTAGGTGCTTAATAAATGCTCAGGCCCTGATGGATTGAGAAGTGGGACGCTGTGGTCATCGGCCACCACGGCCTCCCTCCAGCATCACCCCCTCCAGGTTCTGCGGCACATAAGGAAGAGCCTCGTGTGGCATGAGAGCTCTAAGCTGAGTCAGCAAGGCTGCCCTCAGCACTGTCCCCCGCTTCGTAGGTGTGGTCTCCCTGCTTCCTAGGTGTGATCACGGGGGAGCCACTTCCCCTCTCCTGGCCTTGGCTTCCTCGCTGTAACATGAGGGTTATACTGCCTGCCACCCAAGAAGAGGGCTGGAGAGCCCTTCCTTCCTTCCTACCAGTGTTAAGTACCTACTGTATTTCAGGACTGCTGTAGGCCATGGGAACAAGGCAAGGGAAATCCACAAAGGGATTCAGTGGTAAAGAAGACTCTTGCCTGCCACCATGGAGGCAGGAAGGAGGACTGGAAGCTCCAGTCTGAAGGGGAGGAAAGCCGTAAAGAATGACATGGAAACTGATTTAATTATGGTGCTGATAAACATTAAGAAGTACAGAAGACTGTGAGCAGGAAAGCACTTTAAAACCTTAACAACCAAATGAAGCCGAAGAACCCATGTTTGTATTATTACTGCCATTCCAGCAGGATTGTGCTTGGCACCGAACAGGGGGAGTTTCACAAACACCCCGGGGCCCACTCGCAGCAGACGTGGCAGGCAGACAGCTGGACATCTTACACAGAACATACCGATGGCCGACAGAAAAGTCCCCGGAGGCACCCTCCTCCCGTTTTGGAGCCCCCCGACTTGCCCGTGCGTGCTGTGCGCGGCGGTCACCACCCAGCGCGGGCCCAGCGCGGAGGCCCCGCACATGTGCCGGGAGCCCAGGGCCAGCGCCCAGGAGCCGCTGCCTGCCAGCACACGATCCGGGAAGCCAGGGGCCTGGCCCCACACTCTGCAAACAGACAAGCGCCCGTGAGATGGACACAGAGGCGGCTGTCTGCTGGGGAGTGTGGACGGCTACCGTTTATCATTCCTAGTCCTAAGCATGGAGCGGAAAGGCCATCTCGCTAAGGGAGGGACTGTGACTGTGTCATCCATGGAGCCTCAGGACCTAAGAAAGTGCCTGGGCCATAGGAGAGGTCAAATGGGAGGCTGTCATGCGGGAGGACAAATAAAGACGACACATGAAGATGGCCAGGTGACTGGGAAGACGGGAGAAAGGAACTCCATGCACTGTCTCCCACTTGGCCCTCCTTAGACTCTGGAAGCTGCTGCTCCCCCTTTGGGACGCTCCGGAAGAAGGGGAGGGGGTGTCAGAGGCCAGGGCGGGGGGTGAAGCAAGGAGGTTGCCTGCCCGGATCAGTGGCTGGTGGGGGCAGAACAGAGGCATCCATGGGGCTCTGTTCTGGCAAGACTGTCTGCAGGAAGGGCCCCGTGGGTGGGTGGGCAAGACATCCCCCCAGACCCAGGCGAGCCTCCCACTGGGGCTCTCCCACCCTAGGGGCATGGGGGAGACCCCTTTCTGCCAGCGCCTCCTTCCCAGACCTGGGAGGGGACTCACCGGAGCACTTGAGGGAGATGATTTGACCAGAAGCACAGTGGTCCCTGCGAAACAGAGGCAGCTCCAGCAAGGAGCTGGCCGGGGGCCCAGCCCTGGCCCAACACCCCCTGGGGCCTGCAGGAGGGGGCGTTGTTGGGGAACAGCAGACAGGGCCGCTCTATGGCCACGGCTGTCTGCTTCCCGCCCCCACCCAAGCCTTCAGACCCCTCCGCGTGGCAGTTCTCCCGGGCAGTAAGCAGGCTCCGCCTGGCCACTCAGGGCGTCGATGTGGGCAGAGCCCAGAATTACAAACGGAGCCTTGATGGATGTAAAAATGCAGTTGTTCCCGCTGAAGCCCCAAGTATGTTCAGGGTGGATAGGCGAGTGAGTGAACGGACACGGTTCTTCACCTGCTATTCCTGCCCAAGCCAACCCCACTTCATCCAAGCCCTCTGCCGAGTGCAGTATACTCACAGCCCGCCCTCCTCTCCCCCCCTCCTTCTTGGCATAAACCTCCACTCCTTTTGGACCAAAGCCCTCTTCTCTTTGCGCATCTCTTGGCCCCAGCATCCAACGCCTGGATCCTCACAGCCCTCCGGCTCTCCTGGCCGAAGTCTGTCCACTGCTGTTTCCCTTTGCCTGTTCCAACATCTAAGGCAGGAGCGCTGCATTCCCCTGATGGAGCATCAGGGGGCAGGAGCTGGGTCAGAGGGGCCAAGGTTCAGACAGGAACAGTGTCTGCAGCGGTGCGAAGGCTTCAGAGCAGGGTTGAGAGGACTGCTGGGGAGCTTGAGGACGCCCACCCCCAGGATCAGGGGAAGGTCCATCCCAGAGCCCTCTCTTCTCTGGAGAGTCTCTGGGTTCCAAGCAGTCTACTGCCTCTCTCCTGAGATACCAGAGTCATCCAAATGAAGGGCAGCAGGGGTAAGGGAGACTAGTTTGGAGGCAAGAGCCTGGTTTCAAGACACGGTTTGGCCAATTATCAGTTCTGTGACCTTACACAAGGCCCTTTACCTCACTGAGTCTCAGTTTCCCCATCTGTGAAATGGGAATAAGAGTACCATTTCAAATCCTCTGACAATAACACCCAATCCTGCCATTTTTGTGAGGGGCAAATAAATAATGTATATGGGTAGAACTCGTATGAAGTGAAACATTCCTCTCTGTCGTCCTATCTTACACCTCTGGTGTTCTCACCACTAGGCTCCCATGATTGGAAGATTTTTGTTGGGTTATTCACGGAAGTGAGGGGCACCACTCAGTCCCACCCCCAAGCCCACCCCTTCCGGAGAAGCCCTACCTAGGCTGCCACACCTCCTCCAGGAAGCCTTCCAGTCCAGGAGAGAGCTGAGCGAACTCCCTGGAACTGTTGAGCCTGATGTCAGACAGGTTCACTGCCTTGTGGTGAGTGAGTCTTGATAGGAAAGGGGAATCAAATGGGAGGAAATTGGCTTTAAATGGCAATATGAGAGATGGGGCGTTAGTATAACAAAATGTATAGAAGATGCTGCACCAGGGTAGTGACTGAGCAAGACTTTGACAATGAATGACTTCTGCTGGGATTTATATTTTGTTGAAAAGCAAGGATGCCCAAAGGAGAGAAATAGGCTGGGGCACCATCCTGCCCAGAGGCCAGGAGACGACCAAAATGACCTCTTGCCATTTCCTGAGTACCCTGATGGTAGCAGGCAGGGTCTCCAATGCCCCTCCCTGACCCACCCACCCTCCACCCTGCCCAGGCCCCAGGTCTGGCCCCAGTTACCTGAGATGTCCGAGGCTCCTGCAGACCCGCGCCCCCAGGGCAGAGCTCCAGCCCTCGGAGCAGACCAGCAGCCAGTCTGGCCGGGCCCTCAGCTGTACTTCCAGCAAGAAGTCCTCAGAAGTGTTTATTCTGAAAGAAACTGAGATCATGGCATGAAAGCCACTTCCCATCTGCAACAGGATGGAGGGGCTGGACCCCTCACCGTGGGGCCTGAAGAGGCCTTCATGATCGCCCGGGTCACCCAATGTCGGGCTCCCTGTTCCCCTGGGAGCCAGCGGTGCTGAGAACAAAAGAACCCCTCTCTCTGCTGCCTTTCAGGTTTGTGTTTAACCAGGCGCTTTCACACGAGCTCCATCACCAAGGGTCACAGCCGCCCGATGGCATGAGAATGCCCATCCTCCCCATTCTGCAGCAGGAAGTAAGGCACGAAGATCAAGCGACCTGCCCTGGGTCACAAGATCTGCAAGTGATGGAGCTAGGTCATCCAATTTCAAATCTTGTGATGGTACTGGTGATGGTGCCCACTTTTTGAGCATCTTCTTTTTCCGGGCTCTGTGGTAAGCGCCCTTACTTTATGCTCTTATTATGCTTACAGCTTCACGCAGTAAATATTTTTATCTCCACTTCATGGAGAAGGACATGGAAGCTCAAAGAAGTAATGTATTCAGAGGCACACACAGCTAGCAAAGGCAGACAAGCTGATCCTAACTAATTTCTGTAACTGATTCTAACCCCAGCCTTGGCAGCACCGTATCTTCTGACCCTTCACCCTTACCTGGAGGGGAGGGGACAAGATTGGAGGGGGGAATGGGGAGATAGTGTGGTGTGATGTTTCCAGCCCTCTACGCCGCCTTTGCCACTGGGCCAAGACCCCTGTCCACCATGCACTGGCCCCACACACACACACCTGGCTCCTCTTCCCCCATACAGCAGGCTCCCTCTGTCCAAATGGCAAGTCACCACCTCTCCTGGCAGCCTGGTCTTTTAGCGGAGCCCCCATTAGGGATCAAAACAGTCCCAAGGAGTGCTGAAAGCCCTGAGTCAGAGATCAGCTCCTGGAGGCTGGACCAGGACCTCACCCTCACAGCACAGGAGATGTAGGTGGATTTCTGCAAATTCAAAGGATCCCAGCGCTGTGCAGGGGCCCTGGGCCTGGTGGGGTGGGGAGGGGAGTCTCCCCACCTTGGGGGTGTGGCTCACCTGTTCTGGGAATCGAGGGGAGCAGGGCTTCCTCACTGCTGGCCTCAGAGCAGTTCAAATTCATCTCATCCTGCAGGGTTCCAGGAGTGGGCTGAGAGGCAGCTGGCCACAGATACAGCACTTCAGAGGACAAGGAACAGGAGAGGGTCACAGAGAAGAGGCTGGGAAAGGAAGGGGTCCCCAGGAGGGGGCCCAGGCGCAGAACAAGACTCCTGCTGCAAAGGGAGGCAAGGCAGCCCCCGGGGACTCCTCATTACCACCCTGCTTTCGGCAGGTCCCTCCCAACACGTAAAGAGGCATCGTGCTCTCTATCTCGTCCATCTCTCTGTCTCTCTCGCTCGCGCGCACTGGGAAAGATCTCCAGGGAAAACTTGACTAGGGCCTCCCTGAATCACCCACTCAAGCACATTTCTCACTATAGGACGAAAACGTTCCTCTGCATAGAGCCTGAGCCCCTCCAGCTGGACCTGCAGCCTGTCTCCACTTGCTGTCAGAGTAGATGGAAGAGGCAGTCATCCCACCTGCCCAAGACACCTGCTCACTACCTGCTCCTCTCTCCTAGCACCCCCAGAGTCCGTTCTTTGTCCCTCCCCCAGCCACTGAAAGTCCCAGAACTGACCTAGAAGCCAGGAGCTGACGCCTGCACCAGCCAGCAGCCCCAGGGCTCCCAGCACCGCCCAGCCGCGCCACCCGACACACCAGTGCCCTGCCCCAGAGTCTGTGGAGGGCAGAGGAATGTCTGAGGGCCCTGCCCCTGCCCACCAGCCCACGGCACCCCGAGGCACCACGGTGGGGCCAGACAGCCAGCGAGCAGCAGCAGGAGTTTGCCCCACTACACCTGCCTACCTCCCCCTGCCCCATTATCATGGGATGGGTGGGGGCGGGGGTGCAGAGCTCTGATCACTGGAGCCTCAGAGCCCACTCAAGCCCCCAGATGGGAAACAGAGCAAAAGCAGGTCTAGGACAGATAGTGAGAAAGCCTCTGGCCATCAGTCATTTAAGGTTGACCTAGGAAGACCTGGAAATGGCAACCCACTCCAGTACTCTTGCCTGGAAAATCCCATGGACAGAGGAGCCAGGCTAGGCTACAGTCCGTGTGGTCACAAAGAGTCGGACACGACTGAGCAACTTTACTTTACTTTACTTTAGGAAGATCTGGGGAGAAAGAAGCTAGGGGATGTGGGAAGATCGTCCCTTCACTGCCCCCACCTTGTCATTCCCCGGTGGCCCAGTCTGGCCTACTGGGTTGCTGCTGGGTCTCAGGCCTCCGTAGCGGGTCTCCTGGCTCTGAAGATCCTGGACCATCCTCTGCATCCTGAGCCTCTGTCGGGGCTTGGCCATCCAGCATTGGGCTCTGCGGAGACAGCTGTCAGTCACTCAGCAAGAAGAAAATCTCCACCCACCGCAAGTCCCCGCCCTCTAACTCCAGCCACATCCTCGCTGCCACTTGCAAGTCTTTTGCCACCCTGGGGTCTCTGCCTGTGTCCCTATAGAGGCCCCTCGGGCATCCCAGCTCTCCTGGAACCCCTAGCCCTACCCACCTTACTCTCACCCACCCAGTCTAAGTGTCACAGCAGACACTCGAGCCTAGACTAGGCTGGCTCCGAAGCCCACACTTTTCAACAACCCCTCGCCAGCATGGAGGGCATCCACTGAATCCCTCAACATCCCTCATCAGATCCTAAGATCCCACCTTCATCATTCCCTCCTATCTCAGAGGAAGAAGAGCCCCTCCCCCAGTGAACCATGCAGTCACTCACCCAGTAAATAGTATTTAGCCCAAGTGGACAGGCCACGATAGGGGATGCTATAAGGAGTTCAAGATAAATGAATGTGGACCTCCACCCCCACCACCCCAAAAAATCTGTATGTGAGTCCTTGAAGGTAAGTTGTGTTCAGTGACAAAAGGGAAGTTCAGTTCAGCTACCACTGGGATTCAAAAGGATAACTTTCTTCTTATTGGGAAGATCAAGAAAGCCTTCTTGGAAGAGGCAGCCTTTGAGACAGGCCCTCATAGATGAATAGGGTTTGAAATGACATATATGGGCATTGGGTGTTCCAGGAAAAAGGTACTGAGGAGGCAAAGGAATGGGAGTAAGAAAGCTTAGAGGAGGGTAGGTCAGACATTTGTTTGAAGTTCATGAGCCGTGAAGAAGAGTAATGGAGAATAAGATCTTGTAAAAAACCACCAGACAAGCAGTTCAAAGCCAGGTCTACGGCATACTGTATGAACGTCGTAACTTATCAGCCCTCCAAATTTTAATTTTCTCATTTATGAAATAACAGTGATAAGTCCTGCTTCCCGTTGAGTAGCCTCCCCTCTCTAGCCTTGTCTCTATTCCTTCTCCAAGCCAGAGTGATCTTTCTAAAATGCAAACATGAGCAAGTTAACCCCATCTTCATAGCACCCAGTAGGTCTTTGTAGCCTTCAGGAGAAGCACCCTGCCATGACTCACAGCATCTTCTGTGATCTCACCCCTCCTCAGCTCTCCATCCTCACCTCCCAGCACTAACTCCTCCACAGCAGGACTCGGGGTCATGTTAACACACATGCCCATCCTCACACCTTCACACACTCTCACTGCATGAAGGCATGGGGCCTGCTCTCCCCTTCCGCACACACTGACCCCTAGGGCCCTTGAAGACTCAGCTTAAGTGACATCTTTCCAGGAAGCTTTCTTCAACCCACAGGGCACCTATTGTGACCCTATATGATGCTTCTTTACTTGTCTTTCTCTCTCCCCTTTCTCTCTGGTCCAGGATCCCAAGGTCTGGCTCAAGTCCTAGCACAAAGTGGGAATTCGGTTAATGCACATTGAATAGAAGGAAGGAAAGAAAGAAGAAAGGAAGACAGAGAAAGATAGAGGAAGGAAAGGAGGAAGGAAGAAACTAAACAGATGATGTGACTGAAAGGGTTTTATAAAGTAAAACACAAATATTAAGTATAATAATATATTAATAGTATGTTAGTTGCTCAGTGATGTCTGACTCTTGTGACACCATGGACTATAGCCCATCAGGCTCCTCTGTCCATGGAATTCTCCAGGCAAGAATACTGGAGTGGGTTGCCATTTCCTTCTCCAGGGGATCTTCCTGACCCAGGGATCAAATACAGGTATTCTGCATTGCAGGCGGATTCTTTACCATCAGAATCACCAGGGAAGCCCAATATATTAATTAGAAATATGTGAAAGCTATGGACACTTTCTTCAATGAAATTATACTCCAGTCAAGTTGAAAGAGTCCCTAAAGTTGAAGTGATGCCCATCTCCCTACAGACCACCTTCCCGTGTCAACAGCATTGGTCTGGAGAGAATTCCAGGGCACGCTCAGCCTTTTTTCCTTTCTCAGATCAAGGGAGCCTGGCTTGACATTCGACCTCCGAACAAATTGGCCTCACCTGGGACACTGCCCCAACTCAACACTCACCTGTCCAGGTTCCTATGGTAGCCTGCAAAAATGGTCTTTAATGACACAGGTCCTCCTTTTGAGTAATAATGATTTACTAAGAGTCACCTATAGGCAAAGCACCTGGCTTAGCCATATGGGGGATGAGAGAGGGAAATAGATGTCAGCCCCCAGGGAAAATGAAACCAGATGCCTGGCCACACAGGGCCCCCTCTAGGATCCAGCCTGTGCACCAGAGCTGCCAGGGGCAAAAGGAAAAGAGGGTGGCAGAGGATGAGATGTTTGGATGGCATCACTGATTCAGTGGACATGAAATTGGGCAGACTCTGGGAGATGGTGAGGGACAGGGAGGCCTGGCGTGCTGCAGTCCATGGGGTCTCAAGAAATCAGACTTGACTTAGCCACTGAACAACAACAAAGAAGCCCACGGGTGGGGTCAAGGGTGGGGTTGAAAGAGAGAGAGGCCAGAACAGGGTTTGGCCTTACCATGTGGGTCAGTGGCACTGATGAAAGCCTGGGGTTCTTCTAGGCAATGTCCTGGCTCTGTTCTTGGATCAGCATTGATTAAATAGCCTGGCCAGTTTGGTTGGAGGCTGAGGTCTCCATGAGCTTCACACATGGCTCCTCCCTTCATCGCCACCCCCCCCCCCACACACACACCAGAGAGACAATGAACTCTGCTCAGAAACCATGAATAGACCCCTTGTTGCAGGAAAGGGGGCCAAGGGCTAGGCTGGCTGGGCAGCCCCAGCCCTCCCATCTGCTAACTGGAAGCTTAGAAACAGAGAAAAAGAAAAAGGTTACAAGGAGAAGGGGAAGCCAGCTCCTGCTGCTTAGCAACCAGGTCCCTTGTGCCAAAAAGTGTGCCCCATGCATGCTGGGATAATACACCCCACCCCCCTTCCTGCTGACAGGGCTGTATTCAGGAGACTGACATTAGCTTTTGTTGAAATGTTTCTGAGCCCTGCAGATGAGATCTCACCTCTGCGTAGGTTAGCTTTCCCAGCAGTCTGGGGCTGTCTCTGTGCTGCAGTTGGGATGATGACGAGGGATCTCTGTCACCTCTCTTCTCCAGGCTGCGCTTGTCACCCCAATGCCAGGGAAATGGGCCCTCTCCACCTCACTGCCCTGGGAACCAGCTACTAGAGGAGACTTTAGTGCCATGTTGCTTCAAAGCACGAGGATGGGCTAAACACACCTGGCAGCCACATCTCTTTAGCCAAGGAGGCAGAAGAGGTCCCAGGGAAGGGAAAGGCTGGTGTGGCTCCTCCTCCTCCAATGCCTCTCAGAGATTCCTCAGGTGGGACAGTTAAGAAATGGGCTTTACAGTCAGCCTTCATCCAACCCCAGTTCTGCCACTTCCCTTACCCAGCCTCTCCTGTAAAGTTATGATCATAGTACCAGCCTCACAGAGCTGATGCTGGAATTAAATGACTTACTGGGTATCAAACTCTTAGCTATTGAAGATGAAACTTTTAGCAGACTTCCCTGGTGGTACAGTGGATAGGAATCCAGCCTGCCAATGCAGTAGACATAGGTTCAATCCCTGGACATTGAAGATCCCACGTGCCGCGGAATAACTAAGCCCATGTGCCGCAACTTCTGAACCCACATGCTGCAACTACTGAAGCCCTTGCAGCCTGAGCCTGTGCTCCCCAACAAGAGAAGCCACCCACAGTGAGAAGCCTACTCAGCACAATCACTGCAACTAGAGAAAGCCCAGGAGTAGCAACGAAGACCAGTACAACCAAAATACATAAATACTTGATCTTTTAAATATATTTTTAAAAATCTTGTAGCTTTATATCTAGTGTCTAACATAGACTCTGTGTAAACACTAGCTACTGTTACAGTATCGTCATTCTCATCATCGCACAGAAATCTCCACACACAATACAATGAAGAGACAGAGGTCAGCTATGAGTCAGTCACAGAAGCAGGAGGAGAACACGATGGCTGGAGCTGAGATGCCCTTGGCCAGGCACTGAGGTCTCCCGACAATACTCTTCAGCCTTAAATACCTACTGTGTGTCAGGAACTGACCTGGGCCTCGGGAATGATAAGTCACAGTTTAGGAGTTTGCAGACTGGGAGGAGAGATGGGAACAGATATAAAGAACTGTTTTTTTGCAGAGTGAAATAACAGAAGCAGGGACACAGAGGTACAGGAGAATGAAGGGAGAGCTTATTCCTTACCCAGAGGACCCAGAGATGGCTTCACAATGGAGGAGAAATTTGAGCTGAATTTCTGAGAAATGAGAAGGCAATCACATAGAAGAGCATTTCAAGTATAGTCCAAGGGATATCAGTGAAATGGCAGGGTAAAGGCTCTCAAAAATGGTCTCCTCCATAACAATGAGAAAACTGGCCAAGAATTTGTCAGAATCAACTTTTTTAGAATTCTGGAAAATAATCAAAGGCGAAAGCTATGACCAACCTAGACAGCATATTAAAAAGCAGAGACATTACTTTGCCGACAAAAGTCATATTAGGCAAGAAAAAATAATAAAAGGCATCCAAACTGAAAAGGAAGAAGTAAAACTCTCCTTATTTGCAGATCATCCTAAAGACTCCATCAAAAAGCTATTAGAACAAAAAATAATGGCATGGGTGTGCAGTTAGGGCAAATTCTGGACAAAAGATAGAAAGAAACCAAAAACATAACTGCCACTTCTGAAGAGCTGCCTCCTGCACACACCATGCCCCTAAGGGTTAAGCCAAACACCTAAGCCACCCCTCCAGCCCAACTCCTGGACACAACCCTACCCTCACCCCATATGAGAAACACCGTGCCTAGGGAGCAAGCAAGCTTGGGAACTTGTTGTTTGTTCCTGCTCCCCACTGCTGCAACAAGAGCCCCAGTAAAGACTTGCCTGGAAACAAATGAATTTAGTAAAGTTTCAGTATACAAAATCAATAAACAAAAAACTATTGTGTTTCTATATACTAATAATTAACTATCAGAAAGATAAATTAGGACAATGACCCCATTTACAGTTGCATCAAAAAGAATAAAATGCCTATGAATAAATTTAACCAAGGAGGTAAAATATCTGTACAGTGGAAAGCCATAAGACATTGATTAAAAAAAAAAATTGTAAAAGACACAAAATTTGTGCTCATGGATTGGAAGAATTAATATTGTTAAAATGTCCATACTACCCAAATCAATCCAGAGTCAACATGTCAGGAGACCTGGGCCTGGATGGCCTCCAATGCGCTATGACTTACTCACCTTTCAGAGCATCAGTTTTCTCCTTTAATAAGAGAGATGGTAGATTCAATGGTCTCTTTTAAAAAACTATACGTATGACCAATGTCAAGGAGCTCATTCCCTGCGTTTTCTTCTCATACATATAAAGTTTTTTAAAAGAGGCATCTGGCCCAGGGTCTTCCCTATTCCCAAACATGCCCCAGAAGCCCCATATTCATTGAATGGGCAGGCTCCAAGAGAAGAAATCCCACCTGTGACCACAGCTCCGGCCAGTGCCTGTGGAGTCCCAGCTTGATCATTATCTCCCCTTTGCGTCTGCCGTGAATGACAGCTTCAGCCTTTGTGGATTTAAGCCTGCCCATGATCTTCTCTGACTGCCTCCCCTGTGGATTTCAGACTTGCTTAGACAGCCTCCGTAATTGCTCTCACTTTACCCCCTGGAGAGGGAAAGGTTGGTGCTCCAGGAGGAAAGCATGTCTGGCGTAATGCCGGCTTGAGATTCTGGAACACTCTGTATATCCCCCTTAGTCCCATCCATCCCCCTCCTTTAGCTTCATCTATCAGCATTGAGTCCATCAACCTCAGAGAGTCTCCATCTGTAGCATGGTCCACCTACACCCACAATATCCCTGCATCCCCTCAAATAGCCCCACCTCCTTCAAGTTCAGTTTGGATCATCCCACCAAGGTTAGTTCAAGCCACAGACCCTCCACTGCCCTCCCACAGTCTAATGAGGCCCAAGCACATCCCCTTCCATCCAACCCTCTGGAGAGTGTTTATCTCAATGAAGAAATTAAATGAATGACTCCTAAGTCTAATAAGAATGAGGCTTTAATGAGTGAAAATTGGGAAAACGCTAGATCCAGTTAACTTATTGCAGACCATTACTGCATATCAATAAACAGTGAAGAAACCCCAAGTGTCTGTTGCCGTATTGCTTGCTTTGATTACAAAGAAATGGATAAATGTGTATTTAGAAAGAAAAGAAATCTATGTGGTCTCATATGGTAATGAGCTGCTTTCTTTCATCAGCATATTGTCTGGAAGAACTCCCTTCTGTCTTGTTATTTTGCCTGAAGTCTAGCATAGGGGATGCCCAAGCAATTCCAAGAGGGGAGGGCAGCCCCTCAGAAGGGTCCTGCAGGGCCTGGCACGCGTGTGTGCTAAGCCTCTTCAGTCGTGTCCAACTCTGTGCGACCCCATGGACTGCAGCCTGCCAGGCTCCTCTGTCTGTGGGATTCTCCAGGCAAGAATACTGGAATGGGAGGTGACTCCTACTCAATCTTCTCCCCACATTACCCTCTTTCCTCCCCAGCAAGAAATTTGACTTTTCTTTGGCAAATGGAAATAGGGAATGTCTTGGGATCATCTTTGCCTGCTCCCAACTCCTCACCTTCCATCAGTCATGAAAATTGATCATCTCTCAATTCTCCTTCTTCCAACTACCCACAGCTATCCCCTGACCATCCACCAGCATCTTCCCCAGAATGACTCTAACACCCACCCAGTTTATCTCCTGCCTCTCATCTATTCCATTTGAATCAGTCTGTACCTTTACTCCTTCCTTTTCAAGAAATCTAAATGCTCAAGTATCAACATGAAAGGATAAAATAAATGAAAACGTACCCTTCTTTTTCCTACCATGCTGCCAAAGCAGCATTTCCTAGAGCAAATCTAAACAGATTAAAAACCTACCATGGCTCTCAAGCTCCCATGATAAAAAGCATCCATTCATTTACTCATTCATTCATTCAGCAAGTTTTTGTTGCTTCCTACCAAGTCCCAGATACACCATTCTAGATTCTGGAGTTACATTAACGAACGAGTCAGGCAGATCCCCTGCCCTCAAGGAGTTTATAGTCTAGTTGGGTCAAGCCAACAATTAAGAGTGCAGTCTCTGACAGGGAGGAACAGGATGTAACGGGAGCACCTAACGTGAATCCAGGGTGTTCTTAGCAGGGCACAGACAGTTTTTCCAAGTATATCCAACATATTTTCTAGTCTAATCTTTTTCTTCCCTTAACCCCTTTTGCATAAGCCAGTCACCAGTCCTTCCTACACTAAACCACAGCACGCGTGTTCCTGCTGTCCTCTATTCCTGAAAGACCGTTGCCCCTTTTACTAATTGTTTTAGTCCACCAGTCAGTCAATATTTATTTGTTGAGAATGTACTATCTGCCAAGCACTGTGCAAGCACCAAAGATAGAGTGATGAGCAAAAGTCACACTCAATCCTGCTCCAAAGATCAACCAGCACCCTGGTTAATGGGGAGAAACACACACAAACCAAAGGACCACAGAAGGTGCTCAGTTACATCTCTGAGGAAGTGCTCTGAGAAGCACCAGGTGCCAAAGAGAGCTGGTAACAGACATAAGACTGAGCCTGAACCAGTGTTCTCTGCATTGGCAGGTGGATTCTTAACCATTAGACCACCAGGGAAGTCCTAAGCAGAGCTTTTAGAGCCAAGGTAAAGACTGGGCCTTATCCCTAGAGCAATGGCAATCATTTTTAAAATGCAGCCCAGGAAGACACATCATTTGGCTTATACACAGTGATGGAGCTATTGATATTCAACCGCAGAGTGGAAGGCATTTGTTAGGGGCCTGGCCAAGAAAGAGGCCCTCAAGATTCCCAACGGTGTCCATGACTTTCAAGCAGAGCCTCAGTGACCAGTCCCACAGCATCTGATGCTGCGACTATTGCGATGTCCTCACCGGGACAATCATCCTGGGGACCTGATACACGGTGGTCAACCTGTTGATGGCAATTCTGCTGACCATGGAGGTAACACACCCAAACTCAATGCCAGCTGTCAGCATTCAGTATGAAGCCATTGGCAATTACTATTCGTCCCAGAGAATGGCTGATAATGCCTGTGTTCTCTTTTGCTGTCTTTGTTCTTGTGTTTATAATCAGCTTAACGCTGGGATACGGAGCAATTTCTTATCAACTGGGTTGGTTGACTCCGCTCTTCTGCTACTGGCTTTTTGACTTTTTTCTCAGCTGCCTGGTTGCTATCAGTTCTCTCACTTATTTTCCAAGAATCAAAGACTATCTGGATCAATTACCTGATTTTCCCTATAAAGAAGACCTCCTGGCATTGGACTCCAGCTGCCTCCTGTTCATTGTTCTTGTGTTCTTTGCCTTGTTCATCACTTTAAGGCTTATCTGATCAACTGTGTTTGGGACTGTTATGAATACATCAGCAGCAACATGCCATAGATTACTGTATACCCGGCCTTTGAAGCACCTCCCCAGTATGTTTTGCCAACCTGTGAAATGGCAGTGAAGATGCCTGGGAAAGAACCAACGCCTCCTTATATACCTGCCTGAAGAAAGTCTGCCTTTGTCAATAAACCCTGTACCGGCTTTTTGTCCTGTTTATTTTACAGAATGCTGCAAAACAGGCCTCTTCATACTTGTTTGATACAAAGTACATTTTCCTTTGTTCAAGTATTTTTTTTCAAACACTAACAAGCTATTTGGATACGTATTAAATATCAGATTTTGTTGTTGCTGTTGTTAAGAATATTATATTTTAGTGGTTTAAAAAAAAGAATATTACATTTTAGTGGTTTTTGAAGATTATCTAGGTTAAGCAAGAGCAAAATGACATTGTTTGCCTTTGATGGGGGTTGGTGGAAAGGGGGTGTTCTCTACACCTATTCCTTTTTAACTGTGCACTTTCTTTTTATAATAGTTTGCATTTTGGTTATTTGCTATCCTGGATACTTTCAGGAAAAATGAATTAAATATTCAGGGTGAATGAGTTCAGTGTAAGATCTGAAGTTTTCAGCTATAAAAGCAGGAGAAATATGTCACCTTTTAATTTGACTGTGGAAGATGATGGTTGCATGTTTCTAATTTCTATGTGCTTCCATCTTTGAGATAAGATGCTTTAATAAATCTCTTAAATATATATATTTTTTAAAGCAGCCCAGGGATATGATCAGCTTGCCACCATCCTTTAAGACCCAAGTCAAATGTCCCTCTGTCTTCCCAATACCCCAGACAGTCCCGGTCCTGGAGAGCTCCCGCCAGCAGCCCAGGCACCCTGCCCAGGGGTGACAGGTAGGTCCTCAAGCGCAGAGGCTGTCCCCTCAGTGGCACAGTGTCTGACACATGGTAAGTGCTCAGTAAAGAGTTTTCCAGCAGCCAATCACTCAATCAACACCCGCAGTCTTCAGTTTTACTTCCTCCCCACCATCCTGCCCAGTCAGGAAAGGTCCACCCTACTGCGTTGGTTCAGACTCCTATCACCCCTTGGCTTCTAAGCAATCCCTCTGCCTCCCTTCTTTTTTTCTAAATTTATTTTTAATTGGGAGATAATTGCTTTACAATATTGTGTTGGTTTCTGCCATATAGCAACATGAGTCACCCATAGGTATACAGATGGCCCTTCCCTCTTGAACCTCGCACCCATCCCACCCTATCCCTCCCCTTGAGGGTGTCACAGAGCAGCAGATTTGAGCTGCCCGCCTCATACAGCAAATTTCCCCTGGCAATCTAGTTTTACATGTGGCAGTCTGTATGTTTCGGTGCGCCTCTCAACGCGCCCCACGCTCTCCTTCCCCCACCGCGTCCGCAAGCCCCTGTGCTCTCTGTCTCCATTGCCGCCCTGCGAATGGGTTCATCAGCACCATCCTTCTTTCCCCTCATAATCCATGCTCCACATGCCTACCAGGTTTCCTTCCTAAACAAAGGTCAGACCAGGCCATTCTGCTAACTTACTCAAGCTTTCAGGTACTCCCCAAAGCCTGCAGGATCAAATGCACATTCTTTAGGCTGATTGTTCAATGCCCTTCACAATCCAATCTCAAACTAATCTCTCTGGCCTCAGGTTTCACTGGATCTCTCCTTCCCTTTATCCCATCTACAGTCAACGCCCTAGAATGTTTCTCAAGCAGACCCCCACTCCCACCCTCATGCCCCTACTTAGGCTGTGCTTCCCTCATGTTTTCACGCTGGAAAACTGCTGGTGCTTCAAGGTATAGCTCAACTGCTAACCCATCACAAAACATCTCCTCTCAGCCCCCAAATCCAAGATTAGTAACATCTTTTCTTTGTATTAATACATAGCTATTCCTAGCACCTTGCTCAGTAGCCAGCATGTCCAAGTCCCATCCTGTCCCTGCTCTGCGCTGTCCCTCATCAGCCACTGACACAGCCGTGAAAAGTGGAATGTATGATAGAAACCAGCCTAACATTGTAGGGCAATTACCCTCCAATTAAAAATAAATTAATAATTTTAAAAAAAGAGTGGGAGGGTCGGGAAAGCAGCTCCCTCACCCGACGTGGGAGCTTGCATTCCCAGGAGGAAAGGGAAACAAAGCCACCCTTGTTCAAAGCTTCAGACAAAGAA